CTTTCCCTCTCTCTGTCTCTCCAATAAGCCTATGTGCCCTCTAGCGAATTAGGGAGAAAAAAAAAATCTGTGTTGCAAAGCTACTAAATAAAAGTTAAAAGGTTAAAAGTAGGGACCAGCAGATGACATAATAGTTACACGCTGGACTCCCACGTGGTTTGAGTCCCAGACCCAGTGGCTTAAAATTCATGCTGGGTGCATGTGATTGCATGCCCATATCTTGAGAGGTGACTGGAGGGGAGGGGATTGCAGTGTGGCCATCCCCCTTGGGGTTTATTTCTCACTTTCTGTCTCTCTGTCTCTCTGGCTAGTGCATGTGCCCTATAGCAAAAATCTCTCTCTCAAAAAAAAAACAAAAGTTAAAAGTTTGGAAAACACAAGGGCCAGCAGGTGGTGTAGTGGTTAAGGGCACTGGACTCCCACATAGCTGACCACGGTTTGAGTCTTGGACCTGGCAACTTGCTTTTCACTTTCTCTCTCTTTCTTTTTTTTTTCTCTGTCCCTCTCTGGTCAAATTAAAATAATTAAATACAAATAAAATAATTCTTAAAAAAAAAAGAAAAAAGTTTGAAAAATGTGGACAGTCAACAGATAAAAAAAAAGAATTCATATAAGGGAACCAGCAGTTAGCATAATGGCTATGTCGCTGGACTCCCACATAGTCGACCGTGGTTCGCGTCCTGGACCCGGTGGCTTAAAACTCATACCAGGCGCGTGTGCGTGCATGCCCAAGATCCCGAGAGGAGAATGGAGAAGGGATTGCAGCGTGACCATCCGCCCTGGGGGGTGATTTCTCGCTTTCTGTCTCTATGTCTCTCTCTCTCTCTGTCTGGCAAGCGCATGCGCCCTGTAATGAAAGCCTCGCCAAAAAAAAAAAAAAAAGACCAACCCACCTGATGAAAAATGGGTAGAAGATATGAGTGGGAAGATTCTAAAAGCACATATATGCCATATATCTGAGCATTAACACTGGAGAGTCTAGGCCTCCAAACAGCCGCAGCGTTTGCCTGGTAGGGGTGAGTGTGGGAGAGTATTCCAAGTGACTCTTATACTTCTTTTCCTCTATTGTTTAGAATTTCTATAAAAGTGGGATCAGCAGATGGCATAATTGTTACTTCACTGGACTCTCAGGTAGTCAACTGTGGTTCAGGTTCTGGACCCAGTAGCTTAAAACTCACCCTGGGCACATGCGTGTGACTGCCCAAGATCCTGAGAGGAGAATGGAGGAGAAGTGATTGCGGCATGGCCACCCCCCTGGGGGTAATTACTTGCTTTCTGTCTTTCTGGCCAGCGCACATGCTCTATAGCAAAAATCTCTCTCTCAAAAAAAAAAAAAAAAAAAAAAAAAAAAAAGAATTTCTACAAAAGTAGACCATGAATAACCCACACAAAATAATAATTTCTACAAAAGTAGACCACAAATAACCCACAAAGCCAAATTTCACTCTGGAAAAGTTGAACAACTAAAATTGCAGGGAGGACTTCCAAGTTGTATCTTACTTTACTGAAGGTGCCCCAAGCCCCATGAGGAGTGTGTTGGGGGTTAGGGGGTGTTATCCAGGATCCCTTGCCGCTGACCAGACTTGCCTCTGGCTACTGGGCAGCAGCAGGATGCAGTGAGCTCAAAAGATACCGAAAATAGCTTTCGATCAGCAACCAGTGAAAGCCAGTGGAGGCTTTTATAGCCGGTACGTGAGCAATACGCCTGGTGCAGTGCCACCGGCTGCTCCGAGTTCTTGGAGTTCATCAAGCCAGCTTCATCATCTGAAAGCAGCAGCTGTGAGAAGGGATCACAGAGTTTCTTACCATGTTTCTTCCCTCCTCTCCATTCTCCTTCATATCGAAAGTAGGAGTTTGGGTACACGTAGACACCGTAACCTGAATATGGAAAAGAAGATGCACATGGGTGAGCGCCTGACACAGCAACTTGCTGATGTCCACAGGCACTCAGAGGTGGGGGGCAATCTTGGGGCACTGAGTGTGCAGCTCCCTTGGAGGACCTTTTAACTAGTGCTCTGCCTCCAAAGACTCAGTTTGGGGGTTCATGAGTTTTCCTGTTTACTATTCATCTATCCATTCATCTGCTTATGCAACATGGATGCACACCTCTTATGTGTAGGGGAGAGTGCCCCAGGGTGCAAAGAGCTCCCAGTGTGCAAAGGGCTTAGAAGAAACGAGTGCAGGTCCTTGAGAGTGGAGGCGTCAGGTGATAGCAACGGGTAGAGGACGGTAAGTTGAGCAAGCAAGGACAGCAGAAACAGCCAGGTGATGGAGGGCAGGAGGAGCGTGGGGATGGGGATCTGGAGGAGGAAGGAGCTGTATCCTGCCTTTCCTGTGCCAGGACCCTTCAGTGGCCCCCTGTCCCCTTCGGACAAAGTCCACGCTTATATCCAAGGAGGCCCAGGCCAGTGTCATTGCTTACTAGTCAGCCGCTGGTATACCATACCCCAATTCCCAACTCCAGCAGTTCCTAAAATGTGCGGGACATTCCTCACCAACTATTCTGTTTTCAAGGCACACGTGGCAGGCAGGGGTTATGGGGAAATGTGAGGAGAGGACAGCGATTCCCATAGGTTCCTGTATCTGTCTTAAATTAGGGTCAGGATTTACATTCATTTCGGTCCAGTTTCTTTAGGAACGGTTCTTATAAAGAACGCATCTGGAAATGCGCGTCCTAGCTTGCTGGCTTGGAAGGGAGATGAGAACGAATAGTGACCCAAATACCAAGCGGACCCAAGACGGCTGGCGACCCGCCCTTGTGGCCCGAGAGTTACCGTCCCGCGGCGGCCGCGTTGGCTGGTCCCAGTGCTGCCTGCGGGAGTTCCGGATCCCCTCGCTGGTCGCCGCCATCTTGCCGCTAGAGAGGTTGCCTTAGCAACCAGCAAAGTCCCCTCCCATTGGCCTTTGGTCGCTAGGGGGCGTCGTTACACTGCTCAGTCTCTGGGAGATCAGAATCTCTGGAACGGAGTTTTTGGGCCTGGAGCCTGAGGACGCGACTGCGCCTGTGCAGTGCGGCGCATTTCCGCCGCTGCCGTCCCTTCCGTCTAAGGATCACCCCACCAACGGCCTCGGCGACCGCACCGGAAGCGGAAATGGTTGGAACCTTAGGCCCCGCCCCCGCGGCCATCTTGGAGGCCTGGAGGCGGTGCCGGGAAGGACGGAGCGGAAGTGCTCTGTGTAGCTTTCCGGAGCTCGAGTGCAGCGCCGGCGGCCGTCCCTTGCACGCCGTCCTCCTAAACACAGGC